ATAATCCATGCCATAAAGAAAAAGGAATCTGTGCGGCGAAAACTGAAATCATCCCCGACTGACGCACTATGGAATAAATTTAAGGAACTGCGTACGAGAGTAAAACAACTAATCTCGAATGGCAGAGCTCACTTTTTTGAAACCTTGGACGTAGATATTCAAAACAACCCCAAGAGATTTTGGTCCCTCTTCAAACTTAACTCCAGAGACTCCAGCGTTCCAAGAATTGTTTCTATGGGAGCAAGTGAATCGGACACGGCGTCAGTTCGCTCAGCATCGTGCCCTCGAGACATTGCAGAGCTTTTCAATGATTACTTCACCTCTGTTTTAAACAAAAACGATGACCTAATCGATTCAACTACTCTTCTCTCAACTACCCAATGCGAACCTACCACGTCAAAATTGAATCTTTCTCCCGACGACGTTTTGGTTTGTCTGCGAACGCTTGATGTCAATAAAGCAACAGGTCCTGACGGAATTTCGCCCAGACTACTAAAAAAAACCCGCCCACCAAATAGCTCCATCGCTATCCACTCTATTCAATCGATTCCTCGATAGTGGCTCTCTACCAGAAGAATGGAAACTGGCTAACATCATACCAGTTTTCAAGAAAGGTGACAAATTCTTCGTTGAGAACTATCGTCCCATATCGCTTCTCTGCGTTGTATCGAAAGTCTTCCAGCGTTGCGTGTTGAACAAGCTGCGCGATCACCTGTTACAACTACTAAACTCGTCACAACATGGCTTCACCCCAGGCAGATCATGTACCACCCAGCTTGTCGAAGTGCTGAACTACATCGGTTCTCTGTTAGACTCTGGGAAACAAACTGACGTTATTTTCATGGACATGTCAAAAGCGTTCGACATACTGCTCTTGTTAACAAACTTGCAAACTACGGTATTAGAGGGTCTCCGCTTAATTGGTTTTCACACTATCTACATGGCCGCCAACAACGTGTAACTACTCTCGGTGCAACGTCTTCTAAAAAGACAGTTTATTCGGGAGTGCCACAAGGCAGTATTTTAGGGACAATTTTATTCCTCCTCTACGTTAATGATCTTCCTGATGCTGTTGAGAACTCAAAAGTGGCTTGCTTCGCTGACGACACCAAGATCTTCCGTTGCGTCGACTCTATCTCCGATGCTGCACTCCTCCAAAGCAATCTAAGTAACTTAGAAAATTGGTCTACTTCCAGTGGTCTCGTCTTCAACCAGCTCAAATGCAAGTGTCTGCGCGTGACTAGGAAAATCCAGCCTACTACTTATCCATATAAGATCAAGGATAAGGAAATCACAACAACATACAATGCGCTACAGCATACACACGATTAAGCATATTAAACACACGTTTAAGCATGTTATACACACGTTTAAGCAAATTACACGCTTTTAGGAATTTTATTGATGAGAAATAGCTTTAAAGAATTCCTCTACACTCTCTTAAACAAAGTTTTGTGGCTTTTTTCGTGTTTCGCAAAAACGCGGCTTCGTTTAGTCAGAGGCGCCGGAATATCGATAATTGAGGGGGCAGATATTCATATATTCTTGTTCTGCCCAATTAATTTCTTTTGAAATCGATTGTTTTTACAGTCTGTGAACACGAATATATGAATATCTGCCCCCGCAATTATCGATATTCCGGCCTCTCTGCGTTTAGTACAAACATTTTCTCGTATGTAACCGGAAGAGATCGGGACGCCATTTCGTTTTGGTCCGGAGGTGAATAGCACAAGGATATTCAGAGCTGAGTGGTTACAAATTGCGCAAAAGCACTATCCACCTCCTGAGTACATGCTAACAATTATTACAGATGTTAAATTTTTATTTAAAATAGTGATCGAGGCAACATTTTAGGTTCATAACGATCAGTGGCTGTCTGCATACTTGCTTAATTAAAAGTTCTTTCAAACAAGGAAGCAGATTTTATTTTGCCATATCACTTAATTACAATACACGACGTAGTCCAGGTTTTAAATTAATTTTATTAAATTTGATTCACTTTGTAGCTTCGTGTCCATCTCTGTCGCCAATACCCAACGGTAATATAAATGTCGGAAAACAACTTACACACGGCTCATACGCTATATTTTCTTGCAATGCTGGTTATCAACAGATTGGCTCATCCCTTGCACGATGTATTGACGGAACATGGTCAGAAAAACTGCCAAAATGTCTAGGTTTGTATGCACACACATGAATTAAAACATTGGATAGATATGTTATTGTATAAGGTTATAACAAAGTCTATTAAGGTATGATGGTCTGGAAACTAAACACACGAAGTCATTGTATTACGTTGGTGTCTTAGTTTTAAATGTTAATATGGTGATTGAGCTCGTATAATTAAGTAACCGTCCAGTAGGTATAGCTGAGATGAATCGTGTAACCACGATGAATAATATTTCATTTAGTTGAGACAAAGGATTTGTGTACAATGAGATATAGTTCAACATCAAACAAAAGTCTTCTATTTTGAAGCTTTGAAGTTTGGCGGGCTTCCAGCCCATCATATCTTCACAGACTGTGGTTAGAAGTCAATGGTTGCGAGCACTCGAGTTTTACAGACAGCCCAGCTGACAATTATGAGGTAATGCGGGGGTATCCATAGCTGCAATAATTATCTACGAACCAAAGTTAAATAGTTTGAAATTAAAGATGATAAAGTTACAAAGGATCAAAATTCATTACATAAAATTGGTTCTCATGTATACATTTAGATATAAATTCAGTTCTTTTGTTAAAAATATTCTTTCCTGGTTTTAAAATGCAAACTTTCTTAGTTGCTGAGGTTTGTATTTTGATATATTTTTATTTTCACCGTCCATTGCTGCAGCTATCCTTCGCGATTTTATGGATGACTTTTGGGTAAGTCACCTATACCTAATATCAACCTATTCCAGATGGATCGGTATTTATGATTCGTTCTTTAAAAAGGTGATTTGTATAGTTTGTTGTCCCCTATTCTTATAATCAACCAATCACAAAATCTGCTCGCTTAGACCCGTATCTTTTCCTATTATCATCCCGAAATGACGTCACAATAAATACTGCTTGCATAAGGGTTAGTGTTGAATCACTCTGGTCTATAAACTAGAACTGGATAAGCAATGTTTTGCCGGTTTAATAAACCGCCAATTTTGAAGCCATAATACTTTTAATGAGGATTGATTTTCAAATCTGTAATATCCTTTAAAACTTGAGTTTAATATTACGTATTGAACCTAATTTAAATGGCATTGCGCCCAGATACGCCTTACTTTATTATTTTACTCTGACTAACGCCAGATTAGTTTACACTATCTAACGTCAGACGATTTTACTCGTCAGGGGGAGAGTGCTGCCACTAAATGGGTTAATTTGTTATCAGCTATTGGACTTCAAAGATATAGCTTGCCACTACATATAAGTACATATACGTATATATATTTTAATGAGTTAGTCTGTTAACACCCCCCCCCCCCCAAGGAAAAGCGAAGAAAGGGGCACCGAAATGCTGAAATTGCGAAACGTGCTAAATATTAAGGAATATTCTGAAAAATTGAAGTTGGAAAAGATCTGAAAAAGTATTTCTAAACCTCCATTATCGCAAAATAATGTTCGGAAAATTTTTTGGGGACATTCTATTTTCGCAAAAAAACGGCGACCTCCCCTGCCCCCGATGGTAAGGGCCCAAATGTTTGAGTTCACCCTCCCCCCTCCCCTCCCCTCCCCAACCAGATATCGCACGGCACGTCCCTGATCTATTCACACAGATAAAAGTTTGATAACATTCTTTTTAATTCTATAGCCTTATGCAATCCAATTCGAAGCATTGGCGGTGGATGGGTTTACGGAATGGGTAATATAGAAGGAGATAAGCTGAGATTCCGTTGCAGAACTGATTATATTTTGGATGGCGAGCAGTTTATCAAATGCACTGGGAATAGGCGATGGAATGCAACGAAACCAACGTGTAGAGGTTGGTATAGAAGACCTGAATATGACGGGGGATGGGGACATTTTTGGGTATTTGATCTCTATGAACTAAACTGCATTCAATACAATACATCTGAATGCATTAATTTTGTTTACTTCTTAAAAGTTTGATCAACGCTATGAGTTTTTTAGCGGTATTCTAGAGGAGAGCAGCGATTCCGTTTATGGTGTCACTGATACTTTAATTAATATACAATATAACTCAATGACAATGTATGTCCATTCTCTTTCCCGATAAAAATCATTGCGAGACTAAGTTTGAGGCAGCAATTTCCTCCGAAGACAATAACTCCTTGTTTTAATTAATAATATAAAAGAAAACACAATGGAATTATACAACTTTCTGCTGATTTATGTTTTCACATCAAGTACTTTATCACTGATTCATAGCCTTAAGAATACGAACGTTGTCAGTCGGCAATACTTCCGTATTATATTTCATGCCGGCCCCTGTCGTATGTATTTAACAATTATTCTGCAACGAAGTGGAGGTCAATAGTGCAAGAATATTCACAGAGTCAGAGACACGAAAATTACCATACAACGAAAATATTGTTAAAACAATTTGTATTACAGCTCCCATAATAGAGTTGTAAATAAAGCAGTATTTACATGCTTTTAGTAACTAAAATTTATTCATTAGAAATAGCTTTAAAGAATATCTCTAGACACACTGTTAAACAAAATTGTGTGGCTTGGTGGAACGACAGCTTCGTTTGAATAGTGCAAGTTAGAATTTCCGGAGCTGAGCAACCAATCAAATTATACATAAAAGCGCTTTCCACCCCACTCCCCCGAGTATATATGCTAATACTGATTATAGTTTTATTTCTCAAACATTATGTACTATTTAAAACACGAGCAGGAGTGCTTTATTAGATATAAAACACGAGAGCGCAGCTTGGGCGTTTTATATCTGATAAAGCACGGACTGTGAGTGTCTTAAATGGCTTAAAAAATTACCTAAACAATCCTAAAGAGTTCACTGGCGAAGAAATTTTAAAATTAAACGTTGTTTAAGCCGAGAAAATCAAAGCTAAAGTTTATGTAAATGAACACGATTTTTTATCACATATATAAAACCACCGACACGGCCGTGATTTCCTTTGTCTTTTCCTCATGAATTATTAATGAGTTTTTATAGATGTATATATGTCTTAATCTTCAGCTCCTTGCAGGCGGTTTGGTGTGCAACCATTCCGTGGTGGTTATATAAGGCGAGATGGTTACAGGCATAATGAGGAAGTGACATTTGGATGTAGAGATCCTTTGGTTATTGATGGTCAGGTTACCTTACGTTGCAATGATGGCACATGGAATAACAGACTACCTACTTGCGGAGGTTTGTGTATATTTTCTTAAAGGTTAGGGTCGAGGGTTGATCGTCTAACACAACGGGATAACCCGAAACAC